CTCATCTCACAATGTCGCTTGGGGCCCCAAGTTGGCCAGGGATGGCCCTGGTCATACATTAAATAAAGTGGCAACACACCACAGTTAAAGCATGACGTGATAGTTGTGGGAAACATCACCTTTGTTTGCTCTTCCTGCTCCTCTCTATTTCCTCCCTGATCCACCTGTCACAGAGGGCGGGGCCATGATGTCACCTGGAGGGGGAGGGGGTGATCCGCCTCTCTTTCTCTCTCTGCGGGAAAGTTGTTCCTCAGGGCGGCTGTAAACACTTGTTTTTTTTTTACTTCAGAGAATAAACAAAACCTGCCTCTCCAACATGGCGTCTTCAGGATAAAGAAGAGGGACTATGTACAGAAGCGGATATACAACGTTTTCCTCCAAATACTCACGATTTCTGGCGGATTTTGAGTCTCCAACAACAGGGTAGAGAGTGAAGCCTCGGCGTAGGGATACACAGCAACGAGATGGGAAATATGATACTGATGGCGCTTCTGCTGGCTCGCCTGCCGACAGGTGAGGCTTTAAAGGCGTTTCAGTAGACACAGTAAAGCCTTACAATTATACTTCATCAAGACGTCTCTGTTTTTCTTCCAGTGTATAGCTATTTAAGAGGGAAGCCACCTATAAGCAAACAATCGAAACTAGCAGTGATGTGTTCAAGTTAATTATTATCGGCAGGTGTACACAGGACAAGGCCGACGGCTGTCACGTGACTGCACACGACTAATAGTTTTTTTCAACATGTTGTCCAAAACAATTTTTTAACCATAACGTTTCACACAAAGGAATCAGCCTCTCAGATTGATATAACATCTAATAAAACGTTATTACACAAATAAAGATTCAAATAATTATAACTTAATTTGCTGTTGAGCTGAAATAATTATGTACATAAAGCACAACAGGGTTAGTGACACATGTTGTTTACATGGATCAACTTTATATGTCGTTAATCAAGCATACATTTCAATAATGATCTCCTAGAAAGATTTCCTGCTCTATATAAAAAGGTAGGCCTATTGAAAGACAGTTTATTTCATTATCAGTTAATCTGCAGATTAATTTCTGGATTCTTCTATTAATTGTGGAAAACCATCGGAAATCATAAAAAAATATCTATCATAATTCCCGTGAACCCAAACTGATATAAATCAATGTTTAGATATTCAGTGTACTAGCAAGGAAAATACCAGCAGCAAATTCTCCCATTTGATTTGAACTATTAATGGATAATTAAGATAGTTAGTTACAGATACATTATGCTGTACATGACTTTTGGCAGAACTAGCAATAATCAAATAAACATTGAAGAGTTTTACTTTGATAACTTTTTATTTATTTATTTTGAAAATAATATACAACAATAATTGATTGATCGAATAGTGGTATCCGCAACTCTTCTCAATTCTTGGTTGATTAATCAGTTTGTTGTTTGGTCCATACAGTCAAAGACTTCCTCACATGTTCAAAATGTCTTCGAAATTACACCTCTAACAGAAATAATCAAATAACTCTCAAGTAAGATAAATAAAAGCAATAATGTTTTACATTTTAGAGGAAAAGCAGGACATGTTCATTGAATAATTTATTAGTAAAACTTTAGATTTTAACTTATACGTCTCTATATTCTACATCACAACAAAGTCCGGATGCTGATCACATCTTGGAGATTTTGCAATGTATGTAGATATTTTTGCACATTTCTATAAATCTCTACAGCTGCAGTTCCTATTTGTATACAATTCTCTTTTAAATAACTCTTGGATGTTTTTCTAAAATTCGTTCTCAGTGTTTCTTTCAATTTTTTTGTTGTGCCCTCGACATTCATTTAAAACTTTTTCATGTGCGCCTTTTATGCCTATTTTGACATTAGACCACTGAGACAAACACTGACTCTGACAAACATACATCTCCATTAGAGTTTTAAACGCCTTGTTTGGAGAGAAAGTGTTTCAGTGTTGACCTTAAACCTTAACTGATACTTTTCTCAATTAGCAGAGGTTGCTGTCATCGTGTTGTTTTCTCTTGCTCATCGTGATTGGCAGCTGTTATGACTTAATGATATAGTATAATATGCTCACGCTTAAAGACTTCTGTAGTAAACTCATAACCAGTCTGGCCAGATTTTTTTCGATCAAGCATTCAGGAATAAAGCTGCAAAACAAACACACACACACACACACACACACACACACACACACACACACACACTGACTTAAAGATTGCGTCACATGTGCTGTTGTTTTACATTTGTTTTTATTTTACCAGAGCTGCTTGCCGTCCAGGTGATTGTTCCGGAGACGGAGAGAAGTACGACGCTGTTTGCCTCCGTGATCATCCTCTGCGATTATTCCACCTCAGCGAACGTTCAGGACGTCCTGGTCACCTGGAGGTTCAAGTCCTTCTGCAAAGACCCCGTGCTCGATTACTACTCCACAGGTGAGGCTTATGTAGCTCAACCAAACCACTAATACATATTGGTGTTTTGCAAGTGGCATGGCATATTCACTTTTAATAGTAGTTTTCATTCTTTGGAATACTTTTCTTATTTGTATTTTATTATATATGTTGCATTGTTGGAGGAGCTCGGGTCATAAGATTTTCATTGCCATTTATACACTGTAGCTTATGTGCGTAGGACATTAAAACCTTTGAATCTTGAATTTTAGCATGATATTTCATACCTTATATGGGCAGTTCTTGAGCTGATCCGAGTCATGGAGTGGATACACTAATCATTTTTAAATGGTTAAATGGTCGGTGGCAAGTGCCCTTCTAGTTTCATTAGTTGTTCTTATAATATCTGCACTTGTAATAGAATTTGGCTTGTTGCAACATCATTCATACTCTTTCACGGTTGGGTTGAAGCACACAGTTAAAATATAGTGTTTAGTGTAACCCCATAAAATTGGATAAATTGAAAAATATTGAATTGTATTTCCTTCTGTTCCTGAAGCTTATCAGGCGTCTCTGCAGCTGGGTCAGGACCCGGCCAACGACTGCCCGGACCGGCAGCGCACGGTGCGCACGGTGATCCAGAAGAGAGGCACCAATGAGCCCATGCTGGGAGCCGACTACAGAGAGCGCAGAATCACCATTCAGAACAGTGAGTCTCATCCCGTCATAATGTTCAAAACTGATGTTTAAAAGCTGTAATTTGATCAAGTTGTTTGTCATCTTATTGCCGTATATCATTCTTTCCAGAAATGACGACTAGTTTTTTTTTTTTTTTTTGACTTTTCCATCACTCTATTGTTACTAGTGTGGTTGTTAGCCTGTGTGTAGTGTCAATACAATCATATATAAATACATCTTAAGACACAGCACGGTCACCATATATTCGTATACAAAATAATGTACTATATAATTACAGTACATGTATGTAAGATAGTGTAGTTTGTTAACATAGTGTATGTTAGAAAAATAACTATTAGCCAATCAGTGTCTGACTTTGCCTAAGTGTTGAGTAAACTGAACAACAAAAAGAAAGATGATATTCAAATATCTTTTCGTCAGTCATCCAGTTAAGAGCACTTTAACCCTGTATATTCTTCTTATTGGAGGTAATGGTATGTTTTCTGTCAACAGAGGCGGACCTGGTCATCACTGAGGTGATGTGGTGGGATAACGGCGTTTACTTCTGCTCCATCGACGCTGCCGGTGACACTTCAGGGGACTCGGATCGAGAAGTCAAACTCATCGTGTACCGTGAGTTTCCTCCGTTAAGATCGCATAGATACCTTTTTTGTTTTCATCAAAGAAAGTATTGGAATCAGCATAACTGAAAGTGACTGTCCTTCATATTTGTGTATTCTGCAGACTGGCTGACGGTGCTGCTGATCATCCTCGGGGCTCTGCTGCTCCTCATGCTGCTCTGCATCTGCTGCTGTCAGTGCTGCCCTCAGAAGTGCTGCTGCTACGTCCGCTGCCCCTGCTGTCCTCAGACCTGCTGCTGCCCCGAGAAAGGTACCAGAGAGGCCTTTTGTCTGTCTGTTTTACCCTTAGGGGACAGTACTGTAAACAAAACTGATTGAGCAAAACTTTTAAAAACATACTTTCTGTTTCTAGAAATGTATTTAGTTTGTATTTGTCTTTTTACTATGTTTTGATTGTATTATTACTCTTAATGTTAACTATGTGTATGTTTCAAAAGTTGTCTATGAGTTAATTATTTCTACTATAATGCACTTGTTTGATTTACAGTCAGCACTTTAGAACATCTCTTTTTTTTAAAGTGCTGTATAAATTGAGGATACTTACTTACCTAAATAGCTACTTATTTAGTTTGTTACCTAATTAATTAGTTAGTTCATTTATTACTTAGTTACCTACTTAGTTGATTTCCTTTTATTTCTTGTATTACTGTTCTGTCATTTACTAATTTACCGACCGACCGACCTACCCACTTCCTAACTCACTCACTAAGTTAGCAGCAATCGAAGCCTTTTGCAGTTTCTGTTTTTGTTCAGGTCTATTGGCTCAGTCAACAGCGGGTCTCTCTGACCTTTGACCCCTCTCCTCTCCGCTCTGTTTGCAGCTGTGATGCAGCACAGGATGATAAAAGACGCTCAGAAGGCGATGGGCCCCTGGATGAACGGTCAACCCATGTATGCTCCCATCGGCTCCAACGGCTCCTCTCAGGGCGTTCCCATACTTTACTCAGGTGGGTGACACAAAGTTACACAAAAGACTTCCTTTAATGTTTTGTTAAATCATTTTCCTCCACACTGAAGGGCGTGTGTTTGACTTGGTTACAGAAGTGGGAGAACAAAATGTCCTCACTGTGTAAACACTACTTGTATGTCTTGATTTTAAATATAACAACAAAACACATGGGTTAAACAGTTGTCCTTTTAATTATGTAAAAATAGAAAGTATGTGAAATTGCTGGACAAAGCTGTTTGAGCTAAGACCATATACTAAATCATGTTTATTTTAAAAGGTAAATTAACTATTGTATTTCAAGCTAAACTAAAAACCACAAGTCGTTCTTTAACTCAACTAGATTTTGTCCTGGGGCAATGCCTTTTCAGAGATAGGAACCTTTTTATTAACCTTAAACATGTTGATGGTTTACACCAGGGGTGTCCAAACTTTTTTCACTGAGGGCCACATACAGAAAAATATACGAAGGGCTGGGCCACTCATAAAGGTGAGGTATATCGCCTCATCAGTTAAGTTATAAGTTAGCAACATGTAGGTAAATTAGGCTCGATACATGAATAAGCTTTAAGAAAAAAACCGCATACATCACAGCTCTCTATAGGGTTTCATTTATCTTGTTGGCAGCTCATCCCTTAAAAACAGAAGTTTCAGAGTGATTATAATAAGATGACATAGGGTCTATTTCAAGCTTGTTATGTAAATAAGTTATTAAGCTTTTTTGTATCAACTAAGATTTGTTAGAAAATTATGGAAGCCCATTTCCGCCACTTCCCCATGAAAAGTCATAATTATGAGATAAAAAAGTCAAAATTATGAGATAAGAAGTGCGCATGCGCTGCAGTGGCGCTGTCTTACATTTTGTACATATTATATTTAAGAAGTACAATATAAGAAAAGCACAAGTTTCATTTGTGGGCCATATATCATCATACTTTTTGAATTAGCTGAGGGCCGATTCAAAATGGCCAGCGGGCCGCATTTGGCCCCCGGGCCGTAGTTTGGATACCCCTGGTTTACACATTCATTGGTTTTCTTGTCTTTCAGCTCTTTACTTATCAAGCCCAAAACGTAACCGTTTTTAACATTATTTTGCCGTTTAACAAATACAGTAACATCAGTGGTGCAAATAGGCTACTAAGCCAAAGATCGGCTATGCTTTCATTTAATTTCTTCAACAACAAAAAATGAACTGTTTCCTGTCAATGAATAAAAATAAAAATAATGCAGAAAACATTTGAACATATGCTGTTATACAGTATATGAAAAGACCCAAAATGAACACTGTAAACACACTACTTCATTACTATGAGGAAACTATTTAAAATGCATTTGTGTAGGAAAAAGTCTGTCCGAAGCTTTATGAACCATATAAGTGGTTGATTACTGTATTTGCTAACATCATACATCCTAAATATGAACATTTGACACTGTTGCGTTTAATGTTTGTTTCTGCTGCCGCCATGTGGCTGGAGATAATAGTAAGCTGTAAGATAATGAATGTCTTTCTCTTGCTGTCTTTTTTTCAGGCTCGTACTCGGACTACCCCACCAAACAAAACTTTGCCATGGCTCCCATGCAGATGTCCCCCATGGACCTCCAGCACCAGCCACCTCCCCCTCCTCCACACCACGTGAACAGCAGCATGCGTAGCAGCAATCGAGGCTCCGGACAGGTGTTGGACTACCTGGAGAACCAGGTGAGGGGTCTGGATGTGAGAGTCCCTCCGATGGCTCAATACTCTCAGCAACACATGCTGCCGTTACAGCCTCAGTACCAGCACCAGCCTCAGTACCAGCACCAGCCTCAGCACCAGCACCAGCCTCAGCACCAGCCTCAGTACCAGCCTCAGCCCCCTCCTCCTCCTTCAGTTCCCTACACCCCGGGACCCCCCAGTATGCTGTCAGCCCTGGATGAGATGGGGGTGCGAGGGGTGGAGAGAAGAGTGATCACCCTGGCTCCCATAATCCAGCGTGTTCCCAGCTTCTCCTTACACTCAACACCTGGAAGTGGCGACAGAGCCCGAGGGGGTCCCAGGATATCCAGCCAGTCGAGCGGGAGCACCAACCGCTCGGTAGGGGGCTTCCTCCCCCCCCGCGGGTACAGAGACGCCTCCCCTCCCAGGCGGGGGATCCTGCGTGAGAACAGCGACGACTCTGAATGGGAGAACAGGCGAGCGAGAGCGCCACACAGGGGTTCGAGGAACGAGAGAGGTGGTTCGGCCGGGAGGAGAGGAGGGGGATCCAGACCTCGAGCTCGCAGTCGAGACGACCTGATGGAGGAGCTGCACAGCAGGGGGGTCCGCAGGGAGAGGAGCTACTCGCCCCCCCCACGACGCAAAGCCTCCTTGAGCTCAGACGACGAGGACAGCAGCGGCAGGAGGAGAGCAGGGAACGGGAAGGACTGGCCGGAGAAACCCCCGAGCTACTTCTCTATCGAGAACCAGGCGGAGCGCATCAACGGCCGGAGGAACTACAACCGCCTTTCTGTAAGATACACATACTGATCTTAAACAATGTTCTGATGAGTTAGGTTTTTCATTTCACTGCTTTCTGAATCCTGGTGCTTTCCTTTTGTTTCTTTTTAGGCTTTCTTTTATTGCTTTTAGCCATGCTAGCGATCAGTCAACCACTCATATCGCAATTTCATTATAATAATGTCCTTCTCCAAGGGACTTGGGATTTTAGCATTGACACATGACCAAAAACCTATATAAATCACTACATGAATAGGGCCCCTTTAAATCAAACTTTTGTCATCTGTTTATTCTGTGTTTGTGTGCATGCATGTAAACACACTGTATTTATGTACATATTTGTTTTTTCTCAAAAATGTTACTTAAAATTCTAATGAAATGAGAGAATACTCAGTACTTTCAATTTGAATATATTTTATTCCAATAACAGTATACAAAAAAGCCTGAAATCATGTATATCCAATTTTTTTTATTCTATTATCTCCACCTTTTAACCTAATTCCTGCTCTTTCACTTTTCTCTCTTAGGATAGAAGTTCCCGTAGCGGCACCAGCGTAGTCATCTGAAGCATTTCTATCTTCTTCTTTTTTAAATAAATACTTTTCCCTGAATGTTTCCAGAACGGTGAAAATGAAGACAAGCAGTAGGTACTTTCATCTGTTCATCAGCGTGCAAGTATATCATTGATGATGTAAAATGTGATCCTACAAATATCTTGTTCGAATAGACTTTTGTTCTGTATGTAATTGCAAATAATATGAAGTTATATTAAGCGTCTGTGAGACTCTTATTCAAGCTGTAAATGTGTTCCTTCTGGTGATGGATAAAGGTATCCTCCTTTCTGGTGTTTGAAGTAAAGGATTGTGTTTCAACAATCAGATTGGTGTATACTGTTTAGTAATAGGTTCATTATTGTGGACATGTTCTGTGTGAGACAGATTTGATTGTTTTTTTAATAATTTCTCATTTTTGAATAATTTCTTGTACTATTTAAAGTGTCTTTTTACCTTCTATCCATAATAACATTATAAGCAATACAATCTTTATACATCTGTAGAAAGACAGACTCAGGTAATGAAGTTTTTGCATGAACACCAACAGATAATTGTGATTTTCAATAATGTTTGGTTACAAACATGAATAGAGATGCATGTGATTAAATGTGTTTGTTTTAAATAAATCTTTTTATATTCAGCCTGTGTGAAGTTTGTCAGTTTTGTACTTCAATTAATAATTCATTTATTGTTTTTCATTTTACTTAACAGTGACATTTCTGTTTAGTTTTGCCAAAATAAGTACCATTTGTGTGATATTTGAAGTAACAATTTCACAGTATTGATTTTAAGTTTAGAGTATAACTCTGGAAATCTGGGTTGTGATTAAGTCATTGTATCATATGCTGATACAATGTTTTTCTGATTGCAATTTTTTCACAAAATATTCCCCGGTGTTGTATCACAAAACGGAAAATTGCTATCTATTTCGGGCCAAAAATGCCTCATTCATTGAGTGAATCATCATCGTCATTTTGGTGGAAATAATCAGTTTTGAGAATAGATACCATGATTTTGAGTACAGTGTTGATTTGGCAAGAGATGTGTCGAGTTTTAATAGGGGAAGTGTGTGTTGAGAGCGTTGAGATGTTGTTTGGTTTCAGGAAAATGTGTTTAAACTATGGGAAAAGACTGTATAGAAGCTTTTCTGACAGCAGGGGGAACCAGTGTCTATTTTTGATCAACTGCAGACTGCACAGACTGGAGTTCAGGGGTGTCAGTGCATGACTAAGAGATGTAAAATGTCAGTTTTTCCACAGCTTTTTTCTCTTCTTATGAAACAGAATCAAGCCAGGAAATTCAACAATGCCACAGTCATTACCCACTATAGAGTAAACGCACGTTCTTTGACTTAGTGAGACCTATTTAAAGAGAGTTGAGTAGCAGTTTGAGAGTGCAGATGTTGAATCTGAAGTTGTGTTTACAGGATCAGAGGAGGGAGATGGACGGGGATTGTCCCGCCTCTCAGCCCGCATGCTGCGCTCTGATTGGTGGATCCAGCAGGGAAGTGAGACCTTCGGAGTCAACGGATCCTGGAACAGCTGTTAACTGTCGATCCGACATAAAAACAGCATACTGATAACTGGTTGTTAAAGCGAGCACTGGACAAAGAAACGCCTCCTATGAAGATTGAAGTCAGTGGAGTAGTAGCTACACATCGTTTTCAGGTGAGGCTAACTCTGATATTAGCCATTTGCTAATTAGCAATAGCAACTGTGCTGAAATTTGCGTAGAGAAAAATGTTTAATTAAGATAAAAACAGCGGACAGCTAACATTTTCCAACTGAGCTAAGTCAGCCTAACAATTCATGTTGTTAACATCAACACACTGAAGACATCGGCTTGATTATTTCCTTAATATCTTTCAATGTATTGTCTATGTTGTATGCAACTTGTTGTTTATCGCTGTGACTCAGCTTGCTAATGCTCACTCACATTGATGCAGGTTGTTGACAGGAATAAGTTGTGTGTTATTCACGGTATAGTGTCATCTCTAGGTCATGCGTCCTTTTCCTGAACTAGAAGGTGACTTGTATTGTTCCACCTACAGGATTTCACTGACACTTTGTTGTGTTTTTCTTCCTGGTGGCCTGCAGGCAGCATGAACTCCCTCCCAGGAAGAGCCGCCCTGTCTCTGTGCAGACGCTCCGCAGCAGCGGGCGGGATGAGGGTCCTCTCCGGGTCCCCGGTCCTCTCCCCGGGGCTCCAGGCTGCGGGCATGCCGGCCTCCGTACAGGCTGTCCGGGTCTGCCACTCCGGGTCCAGTCCTAAGGGCAGCGTCACCACCAAGAAGCGGGGATACGACATCACCAGAAACCCACACCTCAACAAGGTTAGTGGATGTGTTTTCCCACATCCCACTTTCTGTCCATGCCAATAAATAGCCTACCTGCAAACAATGTTCCATGTTTTCTCTCATAGACATGACAACAGGTAAAGGTGAGGTTGGAAACTTTGTTTGTTGCCCACATGTGAGGACATGCTTGGCACAAAAATAATCCGTATACAATATGTGGCAGCAACTATTAGACTTATAATTAATGAATGCACTCTTTTCAATGAATATTAATCAAATAATCACTAGTATTTTCGTCTCAAGGAGAAAATGACCCAAATAAGTGCCTAAGTGCCAAGAGACTTTTCAGATGGGTTAGGGCAGGGGTGTCCAAACTACGGCCGATGACCATTTTGAATCGGCCTTCAGCAAATTAAAATATAACAAACTTCAGCTTGTCTTATATTGTACTTCTTAGATATGTATGTTCAAATATATTAAGCAGTATTCATGTGTTAAGCCCAATTTTCAAATAAATTCAGTCCATTAAAGTTGAAAACATGTTCTAACAAATCTAAGTTGATAATAAAAAACATTTACATAACCTTGAAATATACCCTTCATATTTCCTCTTCTTATCACAATCTGAAGCTTCTGTTTTAAGGAATGAGCTGCTAACAAAATAAATCAAACCCTATGGAGAGCTGTGATGTGGGCTGTTTTTTTCCTTACAGCATTTTCAAGTATCAAGAACAATTGACCTACATTGGATTGATTTTTCCAACTTAGAACTGAACTTAAGAGGCAAAATACCTCGCCTCTAGTGAGTGGCCCAGCCCTTGGTATATTTTTCTTTATGTGGCCCTCGTGAAAAAAGTTTGGACACCGCTGGGTTAGGGTTATCATTTCAGTGACTAGAATTTGGCCTGGTAGTAGTGTCATGTATGGTGAAAAACCACTAAGGAAAAACGTAAAAGAATGCATTCTTGAAAAAAAACACTGTTCTAATTTACGTCTGGAATGCGTATTTAAGTGTTGTGAAAATACAAAACTTAAAATGGAAATCTAACCTGTGTTCACATAATTGTGTCTCGGATTACATTATGTTGTGCATACCATGCGTTATGGTGGTAGAAAATATATAAACAGAGTATACCATGTAAGTAGGACCACATGGTGCGGCATAGCAACCACATCTGGAGATATCTATGGTTCTCCTATGTTTCTGTCCTTTTCTACATCTGTCTTTTGCCGTCAGTGTGGAGAGGTAATTTTACTGCATTTTCTCTAAAGTCAGGCAGGGGTTACTTCTTTCTGCTTAGCTAGCAGGACGGATACAGACACTATAGTTGAATTTATGGCTTTAATTTGGGTTGATAAGAGTCGGTCACAGTTCCTTCCACAGTTCCTGGTGCCCATTCAGCATTTACACGCTGACTCACAGGGAAATCCAGAGGAAACGGTCAGCAAGTTGAGCTTTTGACTCTCACTTAGATTTAAAATAGTTGTTTTAATAAGTGAATGTTACTTGATGTTAGGGTGTTTTTAAACATGTGTTATGAGCAGGCTTAAGCATGTTCACTTTCAATAACCCTTTCTTGACCTTTACACATATTTACCACTATCGCACATGTTCTGTGTAATGATAACTAACACTGAATAGCTACAGTATAGGGGATACATACGTAGGCTGCAACTAAGGATTGTATTTATTATCAATGAATCTTATTTTATTTGTATCATTAAAACATTTTTTATTTGTCTATGAAACCCCCCCCCCTAATCGTCACATTTCCATCACAACTCTAATGAGGTGAATGGGACATCTTAATCTTGTTCTTCCAAAAGTCCAAAATGTACTTAAAAGTGATGTATGGAAAATCAGCAAATCCTTATTTGAAGGGCTGGAATAATAATAATCGATGTCTCTTTTAATACTTTTGCTTACAAAGATGACCGAATAAAAAATTGAATATCAAAATAGACGCCAATATTTTCTCTGTCATTCAACAAATCGATTAATTTACAAATGATTTCAGTTTTACCGGATATATTAACTGTATTTATTTAGAAAGGCCTTATTTCTGACCCTGATCTCTTTCTCTCTGCAAACGGGCCAGATTGCAGTGACCTCTCAAATGTCCGACTATCAGCTGATAACCATATAAATGCAACACGTGTTATTATACGTGGTATTATTATGTTGTAACTTTACAGTAATGTACGATAAGGTTTGGATGGCAGCCATTACGAGGGTTACGCAGGTTCTTCCTCTCACCCCCTCATTTAGCCTCTCTCTGTTCTCGTTTGTTTACACACACTGGTTAGGAGTCGGCTTAATGCGTTTACTTTGGCGCCTCTTTACCTGCTCGCTCGGATGGGTTTATCTTAGCGCTGGTGATCCATCACTTTCTCTTCGGCCATGTTTGCGTTTGACGTTTACATGTAAAAGTCTTCCATTCAAATACAAGACACTAAAGGGGTGCATAATATTGGAAAAACAGACATTGCCATTTTGTTTCTGCCATATATGTTTGAGAAATCAGATCACCAGATGACGAACAAGTACTTGTTGTTGGTCAACATTTTTCTTTCATTAGACATAATATTTTCATCCAACTGACATTACGTTTCTTTTTACAACCTTTTTGTTTGTCGCTGATTTTCAGGGCGTGGTTGACGAGTAGCAAGGCTTGCTTTAAATGTTGGTTGGATACAGGTGCACCCTGCATCTCAGTCGCTAGCAACAAACTGGGTATCCAAGAACCCTAAAATTAGAGTAAATATATTGTATTAGAAAGATTCTCTTCTCGGTTAGTCTTAGAAAATGAAAACCAGGTGGGATGTTTCTAAGAATCAGTAAAAAAATTGTAGCATGATGTGTTTGGGTTCATTTTCCTTGCTTGACATCTTACTTCCTTTGATGATTATTGCTCATTCACGTTCACACTAGTCCCATTAGATTAGTTTAACACTTTGCTTTGCACAATCATTCTTTCCCCCTGTCTAATGATAATCTGGTGAAGCCATTGCTGTATCAGAGGATCTTCTGTAATGACCTCTGGCAGGCAGACCTTCTGTCCTCCATGCTCTTTCTTGCCGCTGTACAGTAAAGTGTTGGCAAACTGTTGGGCATGTATCTTAAAAATACTCCCTAATGGAAAGCATGCAGCTTGTGGAACGACTGTAGACGTTATGGTCATATGCCGGGGCAATGTTAGCAACTAAATATCTTATCCGGTGTCACATTTCACACCAGCATGAATCATTTTACGGGACATGTGAAGTTAAATTCACAGATTCTGCAGTAGACAAACACAAACTGGCCGAGGAAGGAGGGATATCCTCAAGTAGGTCAGTGTTTT